TTGGGGGGGGGGGAGGTGTGCGGGATGACATAAAAATTACACCCCGTCCAATGACATGGGTACGTATGTAATGCGCACGCCACGATTTCGGCTGAAAGACCTCGCTCATCGACAAACGGAAATCAGCCACAACAAAGGAGAATCGGGGAATAGTCAAACACAGATTGGCCATCGAACGCGATGAATTCATTTTGTTCCGGACTCTAATTAACGCGTGGATAGAGACAATTACTTTTTTTTGCATCCCATTTATTGTGGGCGTTGGCCTTCACCCGTTTCGGTGCAATTCTGAACGCACCAGCCAGAGGTACAACTGGAGGAAGGCTACACAGGAGTTTCTCTCTGCCTTCCTTCTGCGGTGCTTGTGTTACGGTGGTGCGCATGTGCGGATACATTCAAATACGATGGTATCGTGGCTGAATCCGAGTACGTAACGTTCGGTACGGGTCGCGACAATAGGGGTACACAAGGGACGATGATGTCGGAAACCACACGACAATCATCCACTTTTCATGGGACATAAAGTTGCGAGAAAAGTTAAAAGCTTTTTGGCAGCTTATGGTAGGAAACTGTGGTCAAAAACCACTATTATTGCACGCTCACTATGGGACGAAGGCAGTTATCTTCACGGGACTGGTGGAAAGCGGAGGCGTGATCACTTTTGTTTTTTGTTGAGCAACGGCGACCTTAAACCACACCGCGAAACCGGCCACGAGTTGGTGGCAAAAAACCTGGCGTTGTGCCTTCCAATCGAAGCCAGGAAGACCTCAATCATGCTCACATCCAACACAAAGTGTTGACGCAGATCTGCAAATACATGTTTACATCGTGGTGCTCGCGTACTCTATAAACAGCTGTGGCCATCGAAGGCAATTCCAACTCGTCGTTCAAGTATTCGGACTTGACAATTCATCTATGTATCGCGTGGATCGTGTTGTGTGTGTGGCGGGAGAGGGTCTACCTGTGCGGTAGAGGCAGGTGTTTGACGCGGATAGGTGGAAAGTCTCGATCATTTAGTTAGAACATTTAGTTCGTCACTTTTATCGCGACAAAAGTTTGCGAACTTTTGCTCCAGATCGCGCGAGTATTGTCAATACTTTTCCCCCCATAAAAAAGAGTGCACATCAGAAAAGTTGCGAGAAAAGAAGCAAGCGTATTGCTTTTCTCGCAACTTTATGCTCCCATAAAAAGCAGTGGTATGTCACCTACGGCACGCACGTACTGAATGCGTGTTATGCATACATGTGTCGTATGTATGCGTGCGCGCAGGGGAAAAAAGCAAAACAATAATAGCCAGAGGACATGAGGTGGAAGGGGCCGCCGGCTCCCTCGGTATCCGAATCTCCCGGAGACGTGCAGTATCGTTGGTATATTTTTCGTGCATCTCCGTGGCACATCGTCGTTCGCGACGACACTAAAGAATCGAAGGTTTATGAACAAGCTCGGCCCGCCCTGCTTCCCCGAATCGGCCTTTGCGAAATGGTTGAACCACGGCCGTATCATATCATCAATGTGGTTCCTTCTATATCCACCAACTGCAATTGCCCGAAAACACGGAATTTTGACAACCTCGGTAGTTCCCTGGATGCGTGTATCCATCGGGTTTCCCCCAGAGCAACAAAACCCACAGCCTCACGCGGCCAACTTACAGGATTTAGGCTCTGCAAGCCGCATGTGCTCGAAGTACACCCCAAATTCCACGTGAACGTTCACGAACGACGAGGTTGCGACTTCGAATCCCTTCCAAGACGTTTTTCTTTTAGTCGTTTCTTTCTACGCGCATTTGTGAGGTGGATGATGATGGATTGTGGCCTACGTGGTTGCAAGGTGCTTAGACAGGGTTTCCTTTGTTTACGGCACCAGTATATGCTAGGAAGCACGTGATTAGGCGTCACGACTGGAGGAAAATGTGATCTTAGCACGTGGAAGATCCGTTCCCTGCTGCGCAAGAGCCCACATGTACCTGTCATCCTGGGCCAAGTCCATGGCCTTTCGCATCTCGTTGACCGTAATTGGTCGGAAGGCATTGTGTAGCTCAGGCCTGTTAATGGCGATTTTGGCGGTCATGTCTTCGTACGCCACCTGGTTTTCGAGGCGATGTTTGATGCGTGCACGTAATCGCAAAGCAGAATCCACCCACNGGGGGGGGGGGGGGGGGGGGGGGGGGGGGGGGGATCACAGCAACAGTTGGAGCAAACCTTGCACGTACAACATGAGGGACTGCTGTGAAGCGGATTCGAAGGCTCTTGAGACCATTCCAAGGTCCAGACTATGTACACGTGCAGTGCATGAATAGCCGACAAAGGGGAAATCGAGTGAAGAACATGCCATGCTCGGTTGAAAGGGTGGCGAGAGGAGAAAGGCTCCCCCACCCTCACCCCCCCCCCCCCC